CCCAACACAGCGCACAGGGCAAGGAGAGGTGACACAATTTCTGAGGAGGGGGAAAAAAAACCCAATAAAAAACAAAAAAAACCCAACCCCAAACCAAACAACTCAAACAAAAAAAACCAACCCCAAAACTGTCCTGGCGCAGGCCACATCCCTCCTGTTGTTATTGACCAGCATGACTCCCTGTCTGCACTGAAAACAGGCTGACTACCCCCCTACCCCTGCTTTTGAGAGAGCAGATGGATTAAAAAAGAAAGAAAAGGAAAAAAAAGCTGCACGGATGTCACTTTGCCAAACAGTGTTGTCTGTACGGTGTAAGCAACGTTCCTCCCCAGCCAAAGGACCACGGACTGTCATTCCAAGGCCATGGACAGTATTTAGCCACGTTTACCTCTTCCCTGCCAGGGAACACAACCCCCTCACAACCTTTTCTCGGTCACACTAGCAGAGTTTTACGGGGAGGAGGAGAATAAAAGCTCTCCGGCACGCTCCAGCTGTGAAAACACAAGTGGCTGCGTTGCTGTGCGGTGCCTGGGCAGCGCAGCAACCTCTGCCCGCTGCGGCTGTCACCTCAGAGAGGAGCTGCTGCCCCTGTGCCAAGGGACTTTGATTCCGTGAAACCTGGACTCCCAGGCCAGAGAGTCCAGGCTCAATGCCTGACCTCAGATGAGCTGTGGTGATCCCTTTCAGCCACGCTAAATTTTTAGCCTTTAAGCTAATTGAAATCCCAAGTATCCAAAACAGCAAGCCTCAAAATGGAACAGGAACAACAGAGAAGAAAGAAGCACTCACCAAACCCAAGAGCACGCCGCTGTCGCTAGCAGTCTTGTTTTGCCCTGGGATGTTCATTCAGGAATAATTCGATGGCACTGCACTCTGGGGAACAAGGTGAGAGAGGCAGGTTGTGTTAGAGAGGCAGGATGTGGGACAGGGGCAGGCTGTGTGACAGGCAGGCTGTGTGACAGGGGCAGGCTGTTCATTTTCTTTTTCCCCCCCCCCCCCGCAATGCCATATTCCATATTCCAATGCCATATTCTACATTTAAGACACTCCTTTAGCACAGAGTGTTAAGAGCAGCTTGACAAGCTGTGCCAAACCACCCAAGGATCCGAGTGTCAGGGTTTTTAAGAGCCCCTCCTCTTCACTTACGCAGCTGGGACCCCTCCTTAGCCATGGCAGCCACTGCGTCCTCTTGGCTCTCGAAATGCACGTCCGCTTCTCCTGTGACATCTCCATGGGAGTTGTATTCCATCATGATCCTTGTCGGCTTCAGCGGGGAAAAGAACTGAAAAGGAGGAAAACAAAGAGTTTGGTGAGAAAGAAACAACAGCACGGTCACGCACCCTGTGACCGAGGAACTCGATGTTTCCACTCGTGAAGCCCGTCTCCAGCTACGGGGGAGTCTGAGCTCTCGAGTCGCAAGGGGCCCCCTTCTCCCTCCGGGGGCAGCTGGGGCACCCACAAGTCACGGAACGCAGCCTCACACCCTCTGTAACCTCCTGGCAGAGAAATTCTTCAGAGGAACAAAAATCCCCGCACAGCACAGATGCTGGGTACGCATCAAAGCTGTTAAGCACGGGTACATTTGCTCTGTGACTCTGTTATACTATTAACATGAAGTAAAATGGATACTAAAAAGATTCTGAAATTCATTTTTGTACAATCAGAAAAGACAGTGACAGATTTTAAGGGAGCTCAGCAAGCTCTAACCATTCTTATTCACAGAGGTGAGCCTATCACTGTTGTGCCCGTGAGGCCAGGGCCACCCTGGGGAGCCAGGAACCCTCAGCAAGGTCAAGGTTCTCAACGCCTTCAGCCTGAAGCCACACAGCACCAGGGACTGGCACAGACACAGAGAAATTAAACATCTGGAGTCACTTCATCTGTAGCAATGAATCAAGGCTTTTCACTGGCAATGACCACCAAATGTCACTCACAGTTCCACCGCTACTCACATTTATGATGTCCTGGGCACTGGCTCGGGTAGGAAAACCCCTCACGTGGACAAAGTGCGGTGGGGATGAGATGTTCCCAGATTCCAAAACCTGCCTGGGACTTTCCGTTCCTTTGCTGGACAATTCTGTGGGATGGAGAATAAAACATCATTAACCTTTGCAATTATCCCCTCCCTGCCATGAAAGCTGCAGGCACGCAGAGTCAGGCCCACGGCGGACAATCGGGGTCAAAGGGAGAGGCCTCCGAGAACACACATGCCAGGGAGGGACTCACTGTTGTCTCTTTCCGTATCGGAGCCGCTCGTGTTGCTCCAGCCCCTTTCTTCAGACGTGGGTTCCTGCTCTCTCCTCACTCTGGGGTAGGTCACCGTCTGCTTCTCGTAAGGCACGTGCCTTTGCATGTGATGCTTTCTACTTATGTACACTTCTATATACCTGGAATTCAAAGGGAAGGATGACATGACACACCTTGCACCTCCACCACAAACTCAGGGCTTTGAGAAAGCACTTTCAGGATGTTCTCCTCACATGTCAGGTGTGAGCACCAGGGAATGACAAGCACTGGTTCTGAAGAATTAATTAATTTAAAGTGCAGTTCTGTTTATGAGAGCGCTGTTACTGCGCAGCGACAAACCCACACACTGTGAGACAGATCACCGGTCTGGGCTGGACAAAGGCTTTCGTTTACAGCCTTACACAAAGTTCTCGTGCAAGTGCACGTGCTGTTTTGTCACAGAAATACACATTTATTGCCTCTGAAAAAGTGTTTTCTATTTCTTTCAGCCCCTTTGAGCAGCCCTGTACGTGAGGCTGTTTTCCCCCTCATTGCATCTCTGCAAACTGCACTATTCCCATCTCCATAACCCCCAAATTCATAAAAACCACCCCACCCCACAGGAGATCACTCGAACAGGCAGGCATAGAAGAGGGACAGGTCAGATGAAGTACTTCACTGGAGCTGGAAGATTTTATTAAATTGATGAGATAAAATGTAATGGGGTGTGTGAAAGTTGTGGTATAATACACCGTGTGTCATGCAACATCAAGGGACTCCAGCAAGATCCCACTTACGCTGCAGATAAAAAACCAAACCCAAAACCAAGCCAAAAACCCCTCGTTTGCAGGTTTAGTCAAGATCTAACATTACAACTCCTATACATTTCATATCTACCTGCCCCAGCACCCGTTAACTGTGAGCTGCCTGTGCTAATCTTGCAGAGATCTGGTAACAATCCCAGCTGGGACATGGACACAAAACCAGAGGTCTGTGATCTCGGGCAGGTGAGTCAGATCAGCTCTCGTTCCATTGTGACAATGAAAAAATGAATAGCAGATTGAGAATTAATTAATCTCTATGGGAGAGCAGGGAAGTGTGACAGTTAATTGGATTATTTAGCACACCTACAGAGCAGCTGTTTCCATTTAATATGGGTGGGGTGACAAACACCAGGAAATGCAGACTGGGAACAGGAAATAAGGAAACAGAAGAAAGGAAGTAGGTGTTGTGAACATGTGGTAAGGTTTGGAGAGGTTTTTTATTACCTGCTATTGGGAGAGAGAACTTAGTGGGTTATTAAAGAAAACTGAGAAACTGCAGCAGGTTCAAAGGAATCTGAGTTGGTTTTTTTTTTTGCTGAGTGCAGCTTGGGGTTCTGGGAAAAAGTGGTATATGCTTCTGCTTGAGAAAGAGAGGCTCTCCTGAGAGAATTGTGTTGCCCAGGGCCCAATGTGCTGGAACAAAGTGGTTAAATGTGGATTCCTGAGAAAGGAGGACAGCCCCAGGTGGATGTGGTCACCAAAGAGGTAGAGCCAGCAGCCAGCGTTGGGAATGGACCCAAAGCAGAGGTGAGTGGTAAGCTGTGCTTCACACAGGGGATTCTGCACGTGGGGACTCTGCCTGTGCCTGATGCTGGGCTGCAGGGAACAGCAGGGGCTGCTCAAAATGCACAAAGCACCAGGGAACAGGGTGCAAATTTGGCAGGAAAAATGCCTGTAGGAGGTGCAGGGTCCCTTGTGATGGGGTAGGCAGTGTTTAAATCTAGTGTTCCCTGTTCTGAATGCTATCACCCCAGTTTTGTTGACATAAAACTGCCTTCAGGAATACTTAAAAAACCCCAAAACTTGGTCTGAGGGGCCCCTCAAACCCTTGAGGTTTTGTGTCGCCCCAAGCTACAAGCACTGAAAGTGCCTCTGCAGCACACAGAAGCCTGCAAAAGGCTTCATCTTCTTTTCTTCAGAATTGTCAAAGGTTCTAAAGGAAACATCACCAGAGGAGGTAACATTTGGGTTACACAGAGTATTTCAGAGGGGGCTAGTAAAAAAGAAATGTTTTAAGCCACAGTCTGGTATCACTATGAGAAAGATTTAGCTATGATTTCTACTGAAATCTGAATCCAAATTTGAATCTAGGTTTTAAGGGCAATAAAGGCAGAAGCCTCCCTAACAATAACATGAGTATGAGACAGGCTAAGATGAGGTGCCTCACCTAGTATTAAGCGAGCTGTAACTCAGTTACCATGCTTCACACCATGTTCTTCTACCCTTGTGAACCCCAGCGAAGCACCCACCTATTTCCCATGTACTCCTTGTGCTGTAACAGGGCTTTAGCTGCCATTTCCGGAGCTGCAAACTGCACAAAAGCTTCTCCTGTTTTCCTTTCTCCCCGGTAAACGAAAGCTATGTCAGTTATTTTCAAACCTATACAAGGGTGAGGAGAAAAAGGCACTTAGGTTGTCAAGAACTTTTGCTGTAGCTTAGAGAGACACTTCTTCCCTTACTTTTCTGGTTTTCCACTAGCAAATCAGGTAGTTAAACAGTTCTGAAACAACTGCTCATGCTGCTCTATATGACTTATTTTTTTTAATAAACTCCTTTTTTAAGCCCTATTTACTGGGCTTGTTTACGTTAGCTTTCATAGAAGGCTTAATTGCCAGTAACAAATTGACTTGAGGCTTCGAGTAACTACGAAAATGACAAGTGAATCCAACTTCTAGACAATAAGGAAGTCCAGAGCACAAATGCTCTTTAATTCTTCTCTTACTATGCTCATTTTTCCCTTACTATACTGATTTTTCCCCATCCCTTTAAAATCCAGGTCAAATTCTGTATCTGTGCTGTACAGAATCTTCCTGGGAAGCCTATAACCCAGTAAATAGCTCTATCTGACATGATAACAGTGCACACTAGGGTGAGCTCCCACACGTAGTTTCTCAGGAACGCCTTTATTGCGTACCTCTCTGTGCCTCGTTACCTTCTCCAAGGGTCTCACCAAACTCCTAAGGAAATGGTAATCCTGGCTCCAAAATGCTGCCCTAGTCATCTCACTGTGGTAACTCTGCTACTAGATGTGCCTTCACACATACTGAACTGCTGGTTATCGACTGAAAACTTTACAGTGGCCTTTGCTTTTGGCGTGGTGGTGGTTACTGTGAGCCCTAGTGCTCCAGGACTCTGTGTGCATGCCTACCTGGAGTGGAAAAAGCTGGAGGGGAAGAACTGGTTTTGGTTTAGTTAAGTCTACAACTTAAATTTTACCTAAGGAAATGTCAATTTATTTTGCAAAATCTAGAAAGGTTTCTTTACTAATGAATGCAGGCAGCAACCACCTGGACTGCGCTAGCACTGAGTGTGGGACGTGAGCATGAGCACACATGCTGCGCCATACTTGCTCAGCTGAGAACTGGTGCAGTTAACTTTCACAACCATTAACAAGTCAGTAATTAAAAAATTGCTGTTAACAGTTTTAGCAGTGGCATATATGATCGAACTGTCATGATTACACATCTGTGAATGTCTAATGCTGTGTTTACTTCTACTTCAACTATCATACAGGCATTTTTTCCCCCTCTTAACTTGGCCGAATTACGCACTGGCAGCAATTCAACTGAAGATAATAAAGTTTAGGTTCCTCTTCTCTTTCCTTTGCCCACCCCTGTAAGAGTGCTGCAAGTACTGATCCTAGGTTAGACCTGCAGAAAACCAAAGCTACAAGAAAGCCTCGCAGCCAAAACCTTGTTCAGAAAGATTTTCTTAATTCTAGCTGCAGAGGGACAGTAACTCCATATACTGTTTCAGGTGTTCAAGGCTACACCTACTTTTGCTGTTCTCACTTGGAGGAACAGCTTAGCTAAGCATCAACTTGGAGAAGTTAACACCTCATAAACAAAGAGCAGGGACGAGGCTGTTACCTGAGAAAAAATCTGCAATATCATCCTCAGTGGAGCTGAACGGGAGGCCTCTGAGTAGTACAACTCCATCATTGATGGCTTGTGTTTCATCCCGCAGGTTTCGTAGTAAGCTCTCTACATCACTATCGTGTACTTCAAAAACTGCAAGGAAGGCAGGCACAGAACATGTTTTCCTTCATGGCACTTGGAAGGTGGCACTCTGCAGGCATTCTTCAAGGCAGCTTTTTTTCCCCCCTCCCTGCAAAACGTCATGTTTCTTCCCCCACCCTATACTCTATGGTCCTGCAGTGGTGCCCCTCACTACAAAAGCCACTGCGCCTTTCCTGTCCAGCCTGGAAGTTTTGCCTTATTAGTGACTTGTTGGCTAATCTGCTGCTCTGCTCCACATCCTGCACCTCTCCACACCGTCCTGCTTTATTATTCAAGCACAGAATCACAAAGCTGGGAAGGGACCTCAGGAGATCATCTAGTCTTGCTAAAGCAGGTTCCCTACAGCAGGTTGCACAGCAAAGTGTCCAGGTGGGTTTGAACATCTCCAGAGATGGAGACTCCACACCCTCTCTGGACAGCCTGTCCCAGGGCTCCGGCACCCTCACAGGAAAGAAGTTTTTCCTTAGGTTTGTCTGGAACTTCTGGTGTCCCAGTTTGTGCCCATTGCCCCTTGTCCTGTCACTGGGCACCACCCAGAAGAGCCCAGCCCCATCCATTTGACCCCCACATTTCAGTGTTTATAGACATTGATCCGATCCCCTCTCAGGCTGCTCTTCTCCAGGCTGAACAGTCCCAGCTCTCTCAGCCTCTCCTCACATGGGAGATGCTCCAGCCCCTCATCATCTCTGTGGCCTCTGCTGGACTCTCTCCAGAAGATCCCTGTCCCTCTGGAACTGAGGAGCCCAGAACTGACCTGCTGTCCCTGCTCTTTTTAACACAGTTTTAAAGCAGTTCTTATTCACTTCATCATGTGTTTTCTTCCAACATAACCTCTGTTGCTTCAAACTCACCTTTCACGTAGCGTGGGCCCATATACCTCAAGTGTTTTTCCAAGGCCCTCTGGACATCAGCTTTCGATTCCAGCTCGATCAAGGCATCCCCCCTGCGTCTTCCATCCCTGTTTAAGAGGAAGTGTATGCCGTTCTCACCGTTTCGAATTCTACAGCCTAGAAATCAAGGAACACACGATACAGAAACATAGGCAACTGCATTAAACAAGGGTTCTTTTGATTGCAGATGAAAACTGAATATTCTGCACAGAGCTATCCCCCTCAGCAGTGCAAAATACTGTCTGTAACAAAGGACAGGAAACTCCTATTTCTAACCTTAACTCTTAACACACAGTGCTTATCAAAGAGAAGAAACTGATTTGACATCCATTAGCTTTCTCAGTTGTTTAACTGGGTAACATATGTTCTCATATTGTTGGTGAACTTAACTGTTTGAGTTACCTGAAATCAAGAAAAAATGCTGTAGTCTTTCAGTCTTTCTAGCTGTACTCTGCCTGCTCTATGCTCCTTTCCCTTAGAACTTCAAACTGACTTAATTTAGTCTGTCAGGTTATTGAACCATTTAAAAACTTCGATCTGACCATCTAGTCTACTCTGGAAGGATGGATCAGAATATTACAGTATGGAGGGATCAGCCCTGTAAAGGTAAGAACAAGGCTATTAATTAGGATTAGAAAGCAACACTGACGTTTCACTTGGTAGGTAAAAACCACTCCAGTTTGTTTAAAACAGGGGATTTGTGGAAAAAGCCAACCAGAACAATCTTTAAAGGAACTACTTGGAATTGGATTGCCTTTACTGGGTAGACACAGACTAAGAAGGGAAAGACTTGCTCAGTTAAATACAAAATGCCATAAGGATGAGTTTCTAGTTCTTGTCCAACAGTTTGGCAGTTAATTATTTGTTTTATAGATGTAAAGTGTGAATAATTTTTCAGCAATATAAAAAAATTAATCTTCCTCTGGCTAATGATATTTAAATTTTCTTTTTGTTAACTAATCACTAACTATTGGGTTCAGTAACACAACACTGAGCGGTGACACAGGAAAATTAACTCCCATACTATCAAAAAAGGTAAGCACATCTTCCTCGGTGCATGAGAAGGGGAATCCTTGCGCCCTGACGAGAAAGACATTGTCATTTTCTGCCTTGGGTGCTTCCAGCTCCTGCTTCGAGAGGTGACCTTCCTGGGACGGTGCATCTGTAACCTGTCACCACAAAAAAACAAACCCAAAGCCAAATTAAGCAGTGGAAGTGTGTGGCTTTCAGCCGGGGTACCCAGCTCCGTTGGGCCCTTGAGGTAGGTGCCTGGTACCCGGGTCTGGTGGAGCGTGAGGGGGGAAAGGCCGAGCTGCGCATGGCGCAGGCCGCGGCCGCCT